AACAGTGGGTAAAAACGCGGATCATGGCTGCTTATGGATAATATTTTGATTAATATTGAAGAGTTGGAGGCCTGTAAGGCAATAAAAACTGTAATATAATATTAAAAATAATTCTATATACGGTAGTATATTGGATAGGACCTAAAACAAAGCGTATGGCGTGAAAGAATTGAAAAGGATTGTGCCTAGTTGAAACTTGTTTTGGCTCCGCCCGTTTTTAAGTGGGCGTTGTCTGATTTCATAAGCCATTGGTTACTTTTGTGTAACAATATTGATAATTACTCGAATATGATTGAAAAATTAATATCATTACTCATAAGATACTTTAAATAAGGGTGAACAAGTTGATTGCAGTTCTGTAAGTGCAAAAATTAAAACTTAAACAAACCTGAAATTCGTTGTATTTCGTGTACAAATATGCGAACATCTAGCAGAGAGAGAAGAAGCTTACATCTGCTCTGGTTGTTAGTGTGGTTTCAGAGTCGGGGAGAAATTGTTGACTGATTGACTTTTTTCCTTTTTTGTTTTTCTGTCCATGTTTTTATTTATATATTTTCTTCACTATTTCTTAACGTATTGTGTCCAAATAACAGTTCTCCTAATTTTATTGTTTTCTGAAGACTGTTGTACAACAGTTATTGGCAAGACGCGGTACAATGTCGTATTTTTTAATGACAGTCCGGGAATAGCTAACGCGTTAGCTATTCCGTGCATCTAAAACGCCTAACAATAAACGCCTTAATTACGCTCAAAGGGTGGCACTCGTCAGAAGATGTGTTCAGCCCAAGAACCTAATAATGTTGGCAAGAAATTATAAAATAGGTTGAATATTGCAAAAGGAAATACCGATTGTACTACACTGAAGAAAGAAATGGGCACATATTAGGAATAAATATTTTACCGTTATGTCTTATTTTTTAACTTAATTGTTTTAGAAAATGTCCTCTCGGGCAAAGAGTATAGAGTTGATTTTTACCGAGGCGTCCGTCTTCGATGAATCAGCGTCTTCCAGTAGCGAGTCCAAAAGTTTTTGACAATTTCCAGAGCGGTAATACAAAGGAAAGACGGAAGGAGAATGAGTTACGCGTGACATAATAAGAATAACCAAGAATTCACCATTAGTTGCATGAAACATATCTATTTCTCAAGTAATGAAAGGTCGGCACATTAAACTTATTAAACGCAACGGAAAACCTAGTCACATGCCCAGTTGTAAACAATCTGGTACTCGGTGCAGTTGTGGGGTTATGGGTTTTTTTGGTTCACACTCAGGATGGGATGGAAAAAGGAAACTCACAATGTGCTCTCTGTAAACATATTGTATTGGATGTACAGTTCAGCTTGGTGCTGGGAATTGGCAGCGTGGTTATAAGCGCGATGTAGAGAGAGCTGGTTGGTGAGGATGCTCAGAGGAGGACCAGCTTGTGGGTCGCCATGCTCGCCAGCGGGAGCGAGGACCGCCAGGCAGGCGGAGGAGGAGGAGGTGTTGCTTGCTGGTTGGTGTAGGTAGAAAAGAGAGGTAGGTCACCACGAGGTCAGGTCTTATATAGCGGAGGTAGGCATGGCTTAATAGTTGACCTCCGTCATGTAAGGCGGCGCTGGTTGACCTAGACCACGAGGCATACACTGGGGAATTCGCGGGGTCGGCTACTCAGTGACAAACAGCGTTTGTAGGGGAGGAATCCACTACACAGTCACTGGCAGGAGGTAAGACACAGTATATCAACTTGCGTATTTGCTTAGTTCTGTTTAGCTCTCCTTTCCAATTTTCGCACGATCCTGGGATATGGGAAGAAGCTGTGAAAGGGGATGGAGGTGGGAGAGGTACTAGAAGGCTGGGCAACACGGATTGTCAGTACTGTAGCGAGTGTATAAGAACATAAGAAAATAAGGAGTCTGCAATAGGCCGGTTGGCCTGTGCAAGGCAGCTCCTGTCGAGAGTTAATACCACTCTATCATCCATGAATCTATCTAGCCTCCTTTTAAAACTTTCCAGCGTTCCAGCACTTACTACAAAGATGCTAAGCTTGTTCCACTCGTCCACCACCCTATTTGTGAACCAGTTCCTTCCTATCTCCCTCCTAAACCTAAACTTATCCAACTTAAATCCGTTGCTACGAGTCCTATCCTGCTCGGATATTATAAGAACTTTATCTATATCCCCTTTATTGATACCTTTCACCCACTTAAATACTTCTATCATATCTCCCCGCACTCTTCGTCTTTCTAGGGAATGCAAGTTTAGTTTCTTTAACCTATCTTGATATGGTAGGTTTCTAAGTCCCGGAATCATTTTCGTCATTCTTCGCTGCACCGACTCCCGTGAATTGATATCCATTCTATAATAAGGGCGCCAGAACTGAACCGCATAATCGAGGTGCGGCCTGACTAGCGCAAGATATAGTTGCAATAAGACCTCTACACTCTTATTACTTACACTTCTAGATATAAAACCTAATACTCTGTTTGCCTTATTTCGAACATTCACGCACTGTTTTCTAAGCCATAGGTCCGGGCTTACACGTCTCTTTCACAAGTCGACTTCTGTAGGTTGATGTTAAGTCTGTATACATTGACAGTATTTGCTCTTCCAATATTAAGTACGCTGCACTTGCTGGTGTTGAATTTCATTTGTCTAATGGTAGACCCTGCTGCCATATGGCATCACGAAAATTGTGACCAAGTCTCAGGTTGTTGACCTGACTTTCTGCCTCATTTACACAAAATTGCAGGGTCTCAATTGTTTCTCTTACTATTGGCAACATAGCATACATACTGTACTGTATATTGTTTCTCACTTTTCGTCTTTTTTAAAGTTTTTATTTTTATCATTATTATTATTATTATTATTATTATTATTATTATTACTGTTATTTTTATTATCATTATCTTTTTATTTCAATTTGTATTATTTATTATAAATTTTATTTACTATGAATTATTATTATTATTATTATTATTATTATTATTATTATTATTATTATTATTATTATTATTATTATTATTACATTTTCGCCCCCCAGGTCCCGATATGGGTCAGTGACCTGTGCCCGGGTGGGCTAATCCCCGTAAAAAAGAAAAAAAAGAATTGGGAGGTGTGAGGAGTTGGGAGACATGACCAGGGTTAGGAAACATGGTAGAGAGCTGACAGATATAAGCTTGGAGGCATGATAGAGGGCTGAGAAACATGATAGAGCTAGGAGACATAATAGGGAGATGAGAGACGTGGTAGGGAACTGGGAGATAAGAAGGAACTGAGATATTATAGGGAGCTGGGAGACACAATATGAAACTTAAGATATATTATCGGGAGACTGCCTTTTGCGACCCTTCACCTCCAGTCAGAGGTTCAGAGCAACACTCACTACCACTCAAACAGCTACACCTTCTCTTATCGCTAACCTTATCTTATCTGGATCTATCTTGATAAAGCGTGCTATCATAAAACGTCATTTCTTATTCAACGGGGTGATATGAGCAGAGATTATAAACATCGTCTTTATAGACTTGACACACACACACACATACCGTATATAGGTTTCAATATCCTTTAAAATGCATTATTGTAAGGAAATTATCGTCGTCCTTCACTTGATCCCATTCTTAGAGGTAAGTTGTAGAAGGTTGTGTCCGTCTGCCAGATCCTTTGCTGCGTGGTATTTTTCATTTGTTTGTAGAAAAAAATAGTTGCTCATTGTGTAAACTTGTAAAGAGTATTAATTCAAATATCTTGAATAATAATAATAATGATAATAATAATAATAATTTTACTCACAAGTAACTTACAATTTGTTAGAACTTGACTGCTTACCAAGATCAAATAACTTAGATTTTTTGAAAGTATTGTTCATAAATTTCTTGCATCAACGAACAACGCAGATTTTCATTATTGTACAATGAGTGACAACGAATTGGTTCTCACCTTCGTTAATGAGGAGTGCATGTCAGGTGAGTAGGTGACCGTGGAGGGGTTGCCTCGGGAGGCGGGAACAATTCTCACAGTGGGTCATGTTAATTGGCAGTAATAGATTAGTTATATTGTACAAGTTTAATTTATTTATCTCGTCAACTGATACACAAACATTAAAGTTAAAACGGAACAGTTTTATGGAAGTTAATACGTTTGACCGGCCATAAATTTGCATCAGCTGTTTTGGGGATATTTCTCTATTCTCTTTCGTTGAAATTAAAACTTCCTATTTCATTGACAGCTATGAGTGATACTGTACCTTACTAATCATGAATCTTGAGAGAAATTTCCACAGTACGATCGTAATGGGTACGTACTAATTTAATAATGTATAGGCAGGCTAAGCAAAGACTCAAACTGACAAATATGCTCATTTTAGAGAAGATATGATTTCTCTCGCCAAATTTCAAGCAGAGTACAGTTGCATACAAAACGGACGCGTTGTATATATCTAGAGTTATCCAGAATACTGCAAGGAACGTGTAATTAATAGACGTGATGTAGGAAATATTTACCATACTGTTATTAATAATTCATAATATTTGCCTGTTAATTAACTATTGTCTTAATTAATTTAAAAAAAATACATTGATTGGTTGTGTGTGGGGATTACGTACACTGTTGGTGCAGCTTTAGCAGGATGTACTAAACTATATAACTGTGAACTTGTGTGGACTTGAATTCCTTCTTCAAATAAGAGTGAATTACTTTCACAATGATGACTTTGACATTTTCGTATATTTAAATCTACTGACGTCTGTTATCTATATTCGATATATAGGTGAACTAAATGTGGTCATGTGATGGAAAAATTGAAGCTAATAAAAGGATCACAATCATACAATTTAAGTGGAGTTGTAGGTAGCAGCTTTTTAAGTGGCCCTACATATGTTGTTCAGTCTTAGTATGTATGTGTAACTTGGGTAAAATTAATGTGACGTCCTTCCTTTCCACACAAATTTACAAAAATCTTCATGTAAACGTCAGTTACAATGAAAATAATAGGTAAAATGTTATATAATGATGTAATAGTTCAGTTGTGTAGGTGGCAGGGTGGTGGCAGGCGGTGGCCACCTAGCGGCGGCGGCGACAAGCTGGGGTCACGTGACATGACGTCAGCATCCGCGACGTGGCAGCAGGTAGTGGCAGTTGTGTCCGCCATTTTCACGATATCTTAGTGTGGTGAGCTGTTTATTTCTAGTTTCGTAAGGGTATTCCTACAGACAGGTGACGTATTAGGCTTGCTACTTGTGGATGAGTGTGTGTAGGTTGGGTCTGGAGTACAATAACTTAATGTTTATGATTTATAATTATCGAAAAGACTGGAAAATGATCGTGTTGGGGGCTGGCCTGGATGTTTGTGTATTTTATCGGTGTGCCGGTTCGATCCTACACAATATCCTGCTGATGAGTCACAATCACGCGTCCTCTACCCTGCACAGCCCTTTTGGCTGCTCATTAAGCCTCAGATCACTCTAGCATAGTGAATTAAGTGATTTCAGTATATATATGTATATATATATATATATATATATAAAAAAAACAGATAGCGGACGTGCGTGATTTGGTAAGAGTAGACTGTTGTTTAATCCTTCTGTACTTGAGTTGTAACTTAGACTGTCTGGGGTCTTATTCCTGATTAGTATAAATTGTATAGTAAGGCGAAGGAAGGTGGTTTGTGTGTGTGAGTATGTGGAGGTGAAAGGGACCCCCAGACAGCTGTCAAAGTACAGTGTAGGAGGGGTCCCCAGGACTACTATTGGGCTGATGTCTGAACCACAATATTTATCTTTTATTAATGTTCAGCTAATTTTTCACATCTGATTTTAGTTAGTTTGAAGAAAGTGGGTAAATGTAAAATTAGACATTTGACACTTGCTTTTGTGTTGGATCTATGATTTACCTCATTAAAACCACACCAACATCTACCATTGTATTAAAATATTACCGCATAGCATTTAATAACAGGCTTGGATACATGTTATGGTATTTTGACGAAAATTACATTGGTGTTCTATGAAAAGGATGATTTTGTGAGGAATGTAAGGCAGTCGCTTTTTTTTTTTTTTTTTTTTTAAAGGTAAGTATGTAATGTGTTAATGTGTTGTTAGTCCTATAGTCGCATGAGCTTTTTGCTCACTTTGTCATGTGAAGACAATCCATGGCTATAGTCTTTTCTTATTTTAGCCAAGACAAAGTTTGGCAATACGCAGCAGGATATTCCTTCTAAACACTGACAATTTATTGACAATTTATTGACGGTTTGCTTAAAGTTACCAGTGCAGAGAAATAATTTAGGAAATTCAACTTTTTTATTAACTGGATAAGTTGAACATTGTTGTTACAGGTCTCGCCAATATGTCATGACTCTTGAGTTTGATTCTTGCTTGGCCTGGACTGATCAATTGCAGGAACAGCTAGTGAGCTAATAAAAAATAGGCAGCAATTATGTCAATGGTATCCGGCTGAATAACCACTTGTTATTTAACCAGGATCTAAAATAAAACTTGATACTTCTGGCCACAGAAAATTCTACATGCGAATAATTAATTTCAAACTATTTAAAACAAAAACAAAAATTAGTAGAAATAATACATGAAAAATGAAGGATACACATACAGGGAAGATAAAATCGAATTAAATTCTGAGTCAGTATGTTAAGAAAGCCAACACCACAATTTTTAAGTTATGATACTGTTTAGGTATCCGGCATAGACTTAAAAAAAATGATCTGACCTAACCTAACATAACTTATATATGTTCATGACAGAAGTGGGACAGCTCGTAGTAGCAGAAGATAGTGATTAAGCTTTCAACCTTTGAATAATAATGAAATGCCCACAGCCATCCTGACTAGAATCCCGTTAAAATCATATACCATCCTTGTAGGTCCCGGTCAAATAGCCGATGGTTATTTGGCTGTGAATCCTGGTCAGATAACCACTTCATGTCCTCGGTGTCTGCTAAACTTGCCGACATCTACTTTTTAACAGCATTCACAAACCGTTTTCTTATAAACAAATGTTACTAGGGCATGCAAATATGGTGTAAACAAATCACAACAATACAGTTACTACAAGCGTAAAAATAAATAAGATACACCAGGTTAGTAATGACAATTTACTAGTACTGTACTGATGGTTTATTGTTAAATACTCTGTATAATGACAAATAAAAAATTTACAAGCTTAATAATTATGGTACATGATAAGCTAAGCATGTTGTGCATACATAATATTGACAGTACTGTAGATGGTAGTACACTGTAGTAACAGTATATGGTAACAAACACACATCCATCATGTGGGTCTGCTGACTCTGCCTTCAAATCACTGGCGGAGATGGCAACGCTGGCCAAGCTGCCGCAGACTAGCCGGCTGTTTCCAGGCGTCTGCCTGCCTTTACAACATATTCGTGTAAATGTTTACAAAATCCCGGTGCATTACATGAAAATACTATGACTGCAATTTTAAACAATTTAACAACAAATAGTACAAGTATCTGCCCTAGTAAGGTTTGTTTGTCAGAAACCATAGTTAACACTAAAAGATATTTTAATGTTTGGAAAGGTGTCAGTCTGAACTAGTATAAACACCGACCTTAGGCCAAGTCCAGTAACAGTTACCCTTTTGGAAAAATGCTAGTTACGTAAAACTTGTTTTGAGTGCTGGAAATTAAGTGACAGACCTATCGGTAAGGTAAAGTGAAAATCTGATGCTAGTGGTGGAGCATACTGTACATACGTTAGGTTAACATTTTATACCTGTTGTATAAAATTTCCCCTAGTTTTGAAAAAAAAAAGGAGCTTCAAAGGTTGACTTATTGGCCACAATACAGTACAGCTCCTCCCCGACTTACGATTTACTCGAATTACAACCTGCCTCAGTCGTACCAAGATTTTGTCAAATTACTTATTTTCGAGTCCCAGCGTCCGTACACAGAAAAAAAATTCGTTTGTAATTCACTTTAAAATGGCTGGCAAGCTTAATGGTGAGAGTTTTGTGGTGCTGAGAAGAAAAAGAGACACCCATTTTAGATTTTCTATGTATTATTTAAGCATTTTCGACTTGCAACCATTTCAACTTACGACCTGGATTTGGGACCCTAACCCTGTCGTAAGTCGGGGAGAAGCTGTATGTGGTAGTTTTGAACATACCTGCATCTGAACGTTTTGTCTAGTAGCTACTGTAGTAATATATTACCTAATAGTTGTTTCTGTTAATGATGAGGACTGTGTTGGTTTGAACATGTTACCACCGAACCAGCACATAAGCTCGTATGCAAATTACAGTGTACCTAGTCATGAGAGTCTGGACTAGAATTATTTTAAAAAAATTTTTCAAATAATATAATCTTTGGTGGGGCTATATTGGTTTGTATATAGGGAGATAGAGTGAAAGAATTAAGAATTACTGTACAGTATTGTGTATTTTGTTGGAAAATTAAATTTTTTAATTAATTTTCCAGACTTTGATTTCAGGGGGGGGGGGGGTTGTCAGGTGTGTCTGGTTATTTCTGTAAGGATAGGTTAGACACCAGTGTTTGAGGGTTGCAAAAATTCATTTCCTCAACTAGTTTTGGGGTGTTCTTGATAAAACTGAAGAACTTTTTTCCTATTGCAAGGTTTCCGAACTCGGATTGTGAACATGAACACCTGTTCTTAAATATCCCACACTCTTTAAAGTTGTCTGTAAAGCCTCTTACACACCAAGATGCATTGTCTAGAAACAGTCGTGCAACTGTTGCGAGACAATCTAGAAACACTTGGGAGGCAAGGCAACATTGTTTCTGGACTGTCTCGCTACTGTTGCAAAACAGTTTAGAAACAATCGGTAAACTTTGTTGCTGGAATGTCTCGCGAATGTTTCGTAACAGTCGCGAGACATTCCAGAAACAATTTTGCACGTCCAGACCAAGCTAGAGTGATGAATTAGTGGTTAGAGCAGTCAACGTCGTCATGTCAGTGGATGTAAAAGTGGCTGCTGCGGCGGGTGCCTGTGTTATTTCCTTAGAAGAAAGAAGGCGGAGGGCAAGGAAAATTCCTAGAATATGGTGGATGAAGGAACAACGTATGGAGAAAAACTAATGACAGACCTGAAACTAGAAGATGCTGCTGGATTTGATACTCTTTATTTATTTTTATTTATTATTTTTTTTTTTTCGCCCCCTTAGGCCCCTTTGTGGGTCGATGATATGTGCCCGGATGGGCTATTCCCCGGAAAAAAAAATAATAATGAAAATAGTTGGTCCCAAAATCACAAAGCAAAATACAAACTATTGGGCCTCAATCCCTGCCAAAATATGCCTGGCAGTAACATTAAGGTATCTTGCCAGTGGGGACTCTTTACAAGCCTGATGTCCGAGTATACCTTCAAAGTCTCAAAACTGTCAATATCTGCCATCGTTCTGGAAGTTTGTGGTGGTCTCATTGATGCCTTGAAGAAATTTGTAAAAGAATATTAAAGTATTTGACATATTGTAAAGGGAGAAAAAATAATAAATGAAATTGCATAAAAAATAAACTGGGAAAATCCTTTATGCCATGCACATATCAATTACATACACCTACCTATAATATTATTTGTTGTTTTTCTTTAATTTTTTTCTCCAGATTGAGCATTTTTGTATCGTGTTTCCCATATGGGATGGGAAACAAGAAACCTCGGAAATCATGTTTCTGAACTGTTGCGAGATAGTCGCTCAACAAATTTTTATTTTTTTAGATGGTCGCTCAACAGTCCGGAAACATGTTGTGTGACTGTTTATGGATAAAGTATCTTGGTGTGTTCGAGGTCCTGAGACAGTGTTTCTGGATTGTTGCGAGACGGTCGCACAAATTTGGATTTTTCTGAGAGCCACGCAACAGTCCAGAGAGAATGTTGCGCAACAATGTATCACCGTGTGTACGAGGCCTAATAGTTAGGTCAGGTTTCTTCAGTTTTGTTGGGGGTTTTTACTTTGCACTTTCTTTTTCTTTCAAAGCCCTTCCCACTTTGTGTGAATAAACTTGCATTCTTTTTTTAAGGTGAAATGAAAAAGTAATAAAAAAAATCTGGCGAAAGCACTTTGTTTGCTCTATCTTCCTATATACAAAACAATTTAGAGTTCTGTGGTTGATCTTTTCTAAATTTTTACCTTTGGTGGTAGTGTACTATGTTGCAGTAACTCATTACTATTTGGTG